ATGGTCAGATGGAAAAAGTGCAACAGATTCCTCCATCTACGCTAAACTGTGTGGATGGAGGAATCTCCCGCTGGGGCAAGCTTCAGTATCTTGCTAGTCAGCCCCGCTGGCTCTCAAAACACCTGAACAATGCCTGCATCCAATCAGATTGTTCAGGTGTTTTTTTTTGCTTTTAGGTTTTACAATAACTCTTAACTGATATAAAGCAATAAATAATAATGAGAATGTATTTTAAAGATGCATCATAGCATTTCTTATAAGGTACCAGGCTAAATGCATGACTGTAGATTTGGCATTCCTTAGCTTAGATCAACAGATACCTGGATAGAACAGCAGCTTGGTGTAGTGATGCATAGCACAAGTAACAAGCTGACCTTTGGTTTAGAGTCACTCATCCTTGACTTTTTTCTTCTTTAGTTACTATTATTTTGTGCTGGCTGCTAAAACCTGAGCATGCTCCTGGAATAAGACTGCCTGGTGATTCTCTTTAGGCTCAGTGAATGGTGAAGTTCATGTTAGCCTAACTACTGCCTGTCCCTGCCTGTTGCTGTGACAGACCTAAGAATGAAACTAGTATGATGTTAGCTAGCAATAAGAAATCTCAGATACTTAAAGTGAGACTAAACTCAGGGGTTAAAATTTTAAAATGCATTCAAATACCTTAAAGTGACATTAAACCCTCAGATTTTTTAACATAAAACAATGCTGTAATGTGTGCCTTACTGTAATCCATGGTAGTTTCCCTTCTCTTTGCTGCTCTTCCTTTTAAATCTGTATCTCTTCTCATGCTGGGCAGAACTTCTGTTTTGCAGCTGACTGCCTTGTCTCTGGAATGGATACATGGTGTCTGTGTGAAGGTTCACAACCTGAGCCAGCACTACAGGAAGAGGCACTCAGCTGCAAAGGGAAGTTCTCTTCCAGCATGAGAAGACATGAGGATTTAAAAGGAAGAGCAGCAAAGAGAAGGGAAACTACCATGGATTACAGTAAGGCACTCATTACAGAATTATTTTATGTTAGAAAATATGAGGGTTTAATGTCACTTTAATTATTAAATGTAGCGTATCTGTGGATCACTCAGCTGTAGATCCTCAAATCATCTCTGAGTTGGTGCTGACACTGTCCTTCCTTCTGGAGGGTGGCTACGTTTGTTCCCCATGGTCCCTGTGTGTGTCCTCTGCACTCTCAGCATATAGCGGGCAATATGTCCTCTTGTGGCGATGAAGATAAAAATGGCTAAAAAGGGTTAGACCATAGTTTTTTTGTTAATGTCCTCAAATGCATTTTTAGGATTTAACTCCTGAGTTTAGTGTCACTTTAAACTCATTGCCAGTATTTCCTAATCGTTCATAGCGATCCCTATGAAATAGTTCATGCTTCATCTTATCTTACCACCATTTTGATAGGATTGGCCGGGAAGTTGGATCCATGTTCCCTCCTGGCACTGCCGGTCAAAGGAAATAACTGACTGGAAGTTCCGGTATCGGGGTCAGGTACTCGCCCAAATACTCAGTATCGGCACCAATACCAATAATAGTATCGGTGCATCCCTAGTTTACACTGTAACCATAAGGCCTAGTTTACCTGGACAGTAAAAGGGGTAAACCTTTTTACATTTGAACAGGGGCATAAAATAACATGGGGCCCCATATCAAAATTCTGCCCCCCCCCC